GAATACGAGCGAATCTACGCGATCGCCTTTTACATCTCAAGAGCATGGCTTGGAGAAGAAAAAAGGTGTTTTCAGACTGAGGTCCGCAGGCACCTTAGAAGTTTTAGTTTTTATGAGTTCCCGGCTCAGCTTCCCGTCATATCTATCAGAGTTAAGGTGAGAGCGAGATTCCTTTGAATAGTGCCATTATCTCGTAATATGTAACCCTGATCACCAGCTAGGACCGGAAAAAAGCATGAGCTTGCACACGACGCAGGCGGTTGGCAGACGGGTCTGGAACATAAGAACTTCATTGAATAGAAGGTCATAAGTGCCTCACCACCTGTCATTCTCTGTCGCTTCATATCGAGCATTTATTTAATCAGGAATTCACGAGTGCAGCCCAGCCAATTGTCGGCCGGGTTTTCGGTATTTTGCCGCGAAGCGATTCTCGCGCTTGCAACAGTTAATCCATGACTGACACCATACTGGCTGAAATGCCCCAGAATGCTCAGGGCCCCAAATAAATAAGACACTCTGGGCGAGTTGGAAACCGTGTGTTTGCCGACTGGAAGGACAAAGTGGCTGTCTCAGAACATGCTTTCGTTCTCTTCCAACTATCCATCGGGTTTTAATATGTGTGCTCACGTCCGAGAACGGGAGAACATATCCACGTGCATCTTCGCAAACTAATTGTAGAGGTGGGAGTCGCCAATTGCGCTCTGATGAAATCGCTCACCTTTGCACTTCTTTATGATGACGAATGTGCCATCTTATCTGACCTACATTTTTAACCGAAGCTTTTGCAGAACGTCCTCTTCTGGCCGTTATCAAGTTAGTTCATGGCGCCATCCTTTTCCTAACATATATGAATGACTGCATCCGTAGGTTAAGCTGCGACATCGCCATACTTGCTAATGACATAAACATTTGGAACGCCATCCGCGGCGAGGACAATGAAGCCAATTCACAGGCAAACTTGCACCGACTCGAGAAATGGTCAGAGCACTGGCTCCTCCCGTCTACTGCTACCGAATGCAACATTCTGCGGATAGGCCAAACCTGTACTGCTCACCTAAGGTCGTACTATCTGAACCGCACATCGCTGTCAGTGGTAGAGTTTTGGAGGTATCTAGGCGTGTGGATCACGACCTCAATTCAGTCATCTTTCCACTGCTTGAAAGTAGCTAAATCCGCAGTGTCAAGTTTGTATCTTATTAAGAGGGCCTTTGCGAATTGCAACGAATGGCGCTTTGGTAAACTCTTCGGGATGTTTGTCAGACCGCAACTGGAATCAGTCATTCAGGCCTGGAGACCGTGGACTGCGGGGATATTATTTCCGACTTCTAAGGTATTTCGACCGGCTAGTGAGCCGAATGCACCGGAAATATTATATAGCTCGATAGAACGAAGCTTCTATCATAACACCTACAGTGGCTGGTTTTTGGTCCCATAATGCTTATTATAGGCTTTAATCTGACGTAAGTAACATCAAGATGGATGTCGCGGATTACACTCAACAACACAAACCTGACGACTTCAACTATATGCGGAGTACGTACACCCTCTGTGACTGGCAGTTCCAGCTCATCGATGCAATCGCCTTGGAAGACATCCGCAGCAAAGAGCTCCCCGCTCCCAGGAAACATACTCGCAACAATAAGGTCACAGGACAGATAGCGGAGACGTCAAAGTGTAGGGTAGGGACAATGTCTGGGGCACTTGGTTGACCTTAGGCCATGTGTAGGCAGTCACAGACGCAACTCTGAAATAATCTGCGGTCTGGCGACTTGACCAAGTCCCCATCCCTTTGGCAGATACCTGTGCGAAAATATCTACCGTTTGCGAGGGATTTAGAAATGTGCAAACCAGCAAGACACTAGGATCTTTGTAAACTTCGTGATGCAAAAGTTGAATTATTTCCAATAACACAGGTACGGCGGTCGTCAGTATATTGGCAAAACAGCAGAAATCCCTTGGGCCAGAGAGGAGACGAAACAGAAAAGGGACAGGAACGAGGCGCCCCACATTATTGTCTTTCACAGAGACTGAACCTAGCGTCTACTGTTCAAGCAGCACAAGTGTCCGTCTAACCTTCAACACCTAGGACCGACATTTTCACTTGATAGTCGACTTGTCACGATGGTATGAGGGTCAACGACATTGCGATACGCGCATGAGTGGTAAAGTTTCGCCAGCCACTTGATTTTCACACATATATTGCCCCGATGGCCCTATGTGCTCTTTCGCTTCATAATAGCAGCGAAACCAGTCCATCAACTTTGTTGAGCTATCATGTGAGGACCGAAAACCCAGAACTAAAGAAATTCCTAGAACAGCGAAATACGCAATGTTCTGAAGTATGCCAACGTCATTTGCACAAAAACAAGGCGAACGAACAATATTTACGTCAAATTACCTGTTATAAGGACATAATCTATGATTGGTATGAATACCATTGAAACATCTCGATGCTGAGCAATAACACGTTCGAAGTAATTCAAAGATATAGCCTCAGGTTTCATTCGAAAATTAACATTTGCGCTATATCTTATATTCAGTGCAAGCAACGTAATCGGGGACGGGAGAAACTGCAGTATAATGCTACAGCTACCATTAATTTACAACAGAATATTAATTTGTCTCCTGAGAACTTAGCTTATTTTACGGGACAGTGTGCTAACAGGAGACACTTAGAACTTCTTTTCATTGATGTGTACGAATGATGACAGACCAGGCTCTTCCACAGAACCAAATTTAATTCTTGTGAACCTTATAGGACTTGATCCAACGCCCGTCGTTTTTTATGACGGGACAAGTGATTTGCTGTTGCAGAGAAGACGGTCAGAGGGTCCCATCTATTTTTCAAAAATAAAGGAGCTAGAATAACGACTGTCCCCTTGAATTAGGAGGCAAATACCCCATTGCTTTGCGGCCATTTTGGCCTGCAATCACGGGAGTGAGACTGTTCTAACAATTTGCATACGACCAACTGACTGACCCAAAATTTACCCTTTCACAAACTCCAACATGTGCCCTCACCGCTCCAGTGACTAAGTTGGATTTGGTACTCACTCAAAGTCGCTGACGGAGCTGGATACTTTTGATAAGTCTCGGGTTTCTAATCAGTAATTCCTTAAAATGCCCTTCCAGTCAAAAATGCTTTGAGCTATTTACAAGCTTAAGCGCCCATTTCGAGTCTGGGCGGATTGTAATCCAGCTCCGACTTGGTAACCATCGCATTCATTTTCCAATCCCTTTGAGCCAGTTCTTCATAATTATGTATATAATTCATCATGCCTCTAAACATACCTTACATAGTGCGAAAAATTGCCCACCAAGGCTGATTTCAGTCAATTCTGTCATGTACAAATTTTTCGCTCTCCGCTCCTAGTGCACTTCCTTTGAAAATTTTAGGGTCAGATGTTGGTAGCGCCCCGTCGGATAGTGTGATATTACGGCATAGAAGGCTATTCATGCAATGAGGCTTCGTATTGTAAGTGTTTATATTATTCTCCCACAAACTTGTAGATTCGAACAGTTTTCGCCCGTGGCTTATGGCGTCGAAGCATTTATATTGCGTTCGTGTGCCTCTTTTTACTCTTGCTGCTGTTCCAGTTTGCCGGCCAGCTTCCCAATAATTCACAATCCGAGATTGCCCTGTCTAAGTCCCAGTTCATACCCAAACTTGGTATCCGTCGGACTAATTGGACCACCTTTCGTATCACACCGTTACAATCAGAGACAGGAGATATCCTCATAGAGTTGCGTGAGGCAATGAACCACTCCTGGAAGGCCTACAAGCTATACGCTTGGGGTTTGCTCGTCGAATTAGGCTAAAATTTTTTAAGGTAAAGACGAGGTTGATCCTGTGACAAAGAGGGGATCATTTTGGATGAATGCAGCTCTCACAATGATCGATTCGCTCGACACCCTTTGGATATTTAACATGGATAAGGAATTCGAGGAAGCCAGGAATTGGATCGATACATATGTTCATTTTGATTTGGACAACGATCGCGTTAGTGTGTTCGAGTCCACTATAAGGCTTCTAGGTGGATTACTAAGCGCCTTCCATCTGTCTAACAATGAAGTATTTATTTCTAAAGCGGTAAGCATAATAGTAAAGTTGCTGCAGATTTGAAAGTTCTTGCATCGTCCTGCTTTCCATGAACTCCATACTGTTTTTATGATTACTGATGTCCTGAGTGATTACTCTTGATGCGTGCCGACAGGCGACGATGATACTGAATGTTACGATTCCCTTCTCCAACCATACTGACTACATGAAAATAATCAAAAACTTTCTCGAGATCGCGACCAGTCGTCCCAAGCCTATTTAAGTAGAACACACACGCTTGGTTTCTCGTAATGCGTTTCACTGGCTTTTAGCCCGTAACACCAAGATTAGAAGACTAAGGACACTGAATGTGCCTAAATCAATTCAACTTGCTCCCTTACAATCCTTATGTCCTCCCGCTCTCGTCACCACGAATGCTAAGTGCCGCTTTTGAGACGGATCCTGTGTACTTCTCCCAAGTTAGTTCTCAAGCGCTACTAGCTGAATAATTCCAGTTTTCGCATGTCTATCTAACACAGTCCGAGCTCCTCAACTGTAGAGCTGGCACGATCAAAAACTATCGATTGGACGGCGGTATCCTTCCTATTCTATTCTCGTCGTATTTTCTGACTCCTGAAGTTTCCGAAACATGGACTGAGTGAACCCATCTAGAGCCTACGGAAAAGTAAATTATACCGACCATCAAAAATCAATGGGAAAAATGCATGCTACTTAAGTAGTCATTTTTGCCGAGTAGGGTTTCTACAGGAGGTCGGAAAGCAGTGTATGCCAGAGCGGACATCCTGCCGAGTCCCAAATATCATAGGATTATGCCGCAAGGTAATCAGTATTACAACCGCGACCAAGTAATCCTTCCTAATCGAAAACGCATTTCAGACTTTCAGTCAACATTTCATGAGATCGGTCACTCACTGTAGGTGTTGGTCAGGATGAGGCGGTGTTCTGCGCAGGCTCGCGGAAGGAGTAGGCTATTGATCTTGGAGCTTTGGAGACCATATGGACCCAGCGCTCCTCTCCAGGCAGTATGGTCTGCGCCTATCTGAGCCTTGAAGTCAGCAAGGACAATCAACTTATCCGCCTTCTTCAAAGTCTTCAGGAGAGCGTTCAAGTCCTCGTACAATATGTTCCTTGCAGCGTCAGGGCTGGTCATCGAGGAGCGTAGACGCTGACGATGGTGACCAATTTGCCTCCCCGGAGAGGCAGGCGGAGGCTCATCAGACGATTGTTGATGTCCTGCGGCAGACAGGGTAGTCGTCCTACGATGTCATTCCGGATGGCAAAGGTGACGCCCGCGTCACGTCGCTCTGCCTTGGGACGAACGCTGCAGAAGGTATAGCCGGCACCCATCTCCTCCAGTCGTCCTTGTTCGGCGAAGCGAGTCTCGCTGAGTGCAGCGATGTCCGCATTGTGGCGCGCCAGTTACCGAGTCATTAATATCGTCCTCCGGTCCGGTCGGTTGGTTCTCGGATTGTCTGAAAGTAAACAAACATTCCAGGTTGCCAGAATAAGCGGATTCACCCTAGCTGCCTGTGGGGTGGAGCGACTGGGAGGAGGGGGAAGGGAGAGAGTGTGTTGTTTCTTGTTTGGCAGTTTCGACCGTGTGTTTTGCGTCTGCGAGCCACGGTCAGCACGCAGAGGACGTGATCTCAGCATTTGTTTAGGGCACCTCGCGGGTGAGCATCCTCGCGCGGGTGAGCAGTTCTGTCCCTAAATAGGATTGCTCAGGCATCCCAGACGGCTGCTGCACTCCAGTATGAGTCGCGGGCTTTAGTGATAGAACGACCAGTGGCCTGGACCGCCTACGTGATCACTGTCGCTCTCACCGTAGGACTTTTTGAGTGGGGCGACGGGGGACGGAGCGGGAGAGGGGGTAAGAGTGCAGAAACGGAAAGCAGAGTTTCCCATCCCTCTCAAAGGTAACTGGTTGCTGAAATATAGTGCCTGCCTCCGATAATGGGTTTGAGTGAGAGCCCGAAATGTCATGTCAGTAAAGCTCTTGTTCCAGCGATCGCACCTTCTTCTAAAGAAAACATTGCTCTTTCCACTACAGTAGTATGGCTCACTGTCTTTCACATAGTTACCTGCTATTCGCACTTACGTTCGATTCAATTCCACCACATGCATTCGCTTGCAGACCGTTCTGGGAGAAAAGCTCCTACATGCATTCAAATCCACGTCAGGACTGCCCTATTCGGACATTAATTTGGCAAAACTAGTGGCTTCGCTTCCTGATTGGTCCAGATATGTCAGCCTTTCCGAAGTGGCGACACTTCAGTTGGAGTTTAATGATCTCGCCATCATATCTAGGAATGCCGATCTCGCCGTAAGTCTCTTCTACATCTAAAATCCTCTTGGTCATTGCATTTCATTGAAAACTGCCAACTTTTGATGTTTATGGGGACACGACCATTCCGGTAGAAAAGTTGCTGTCTACGAGGAAGTGGACTTTTTGTAGGGTGAAATTCTTTTTAAATGATCATATGATAATCAAGATAACCTCGAGTGTTCTGCGTGGTCCTCGTTTTTCCTATGTAGGCCGTACGCTTTTATTTACTGCCTTTTCTACGGATTCATGGGAGATCAAATGCGGTCGATCATCACCGCCTCATTCGTTAATGTAGGTTTTTTGGCATTACATCTGCTAATCTTCATGGCTTAGCGCCATTTATAAGGGGAAGAGACTTTCCACAATCTTCAGAGAAGTCTTGCCGAAAGACAAGCATTTGTAAGGAGCTCATATCATGGGAAGATCGATTTTTTGACTTCGTTGACATCAGTAATTTATGCGAACTGGCATAGTTGTGGTAATTTTCATGAACTCACCGAACTAATTTCTCTCCAGCTTTTACCTCATTGTACCGTCCATTTCAGACATCCGATTACTCATCTCGAAACCGACCACCGTTTGGCTTAGTACTTGATCTTCTGAAGTCACTCAAATGCGTTCTATATGGTAGGGTAGTATTTGCAATCCTCTAGCGAAATTCCGATTGTTGGCAGCCATCTATAATCTAAAATATACAGTCACTGTCGGATATTTTGTTGGGTATTTTCACTGGAATACCGTTCGCGTAGCTTTGACTATTATTCGACTTCTTTGTTTGAAGGCTAAAATGACTTCTAGGCGGCCTGAACTGATCTTTTTTACCCTTACAATACTGAGTACTCACTTATTTCACAGCCACTTTCTGTCTGAATTCGTAGATATTTTGTCTTGGATGTTTTCGTAGCCCTGATGGCCACCTTTCGACTTCCAGTGGTGGGCCATCTATCGCCAACGAATCTTGTTAAGTTCGCCTGTAAATTCCCCGTTTGATTATTTCGCGTCTAAAAAAGGCACCGATGCATATCTTCCCCGGGTTCCCCCTAGGTGTAATGCGGTCGGGTTTGTGTGCTTTGTTTTCTTGCACGGGTTTGAGTTTTTGATGGCCTTAGGCACAGCTTCTAAACTTCAGCTGTCTTTCGGTATTGGCCCGGAATTTAGATGGAAACGACTGATATCCAGGAAACTGGACACAGATACAGCTCTTATGCAGGAAATACAAACGACGACGCTCTTTGCGGCCTAAGCAAGTAATTTGCATATAGTAAACTGGCATTGGAGTCACATGTGCCGCACTAAATTAAGCTATTTACTGAGAGTGTGCAGTGTACTTATTTTGCGCAAGTGAACATTTTAAGGACGGATCTTCATGTATGAGATTTCTGAATTTCGGCACTGATACACCACTCGAATTATGAGCGAGCATTGTAGAATTTCACCGACTGAATTGTATGTGCGGAGGTTTTCTTGTCAAATATGTTTTTTACAGGTCCACATTTTACCTTCGTTTTGTGACTCTTACCGATTTCCGAAATTCTTAGGCTGTCTCCTGTTCTTCCGCAAACACACTGATAAAGGGCTGACCGGCTACTGCCAACCTAGCCCAATATACCCAATCTTTTGCTCACTGGCAACTTTTGTTCGTGATCCTTTTTTGGCCAGAAATATCATTTATTGATATTGGATCACAGAGTTTCTCCCGCAATTACTTAACTTTAGCAGCTTTGGTCTGACCATAGTCTACCGATGAAGTTACTGTAATGAGATTTGTGCCAATGATTCGTAGCTATCTCATAGATTTCCTCCCCAATAACGTACTGTTGTTTATGACTTTTTTCAAAAAAATGCGGTCCCTAGCGCCAACCTGCCAAAGTTCAGCAGATTTTGCATGGAATTCGGAAAGAAAGCGGTCTGCTCTCAATCTCCCTGGATCCTGACACCGGTCAAGCTGGGGGCGTCAGTTACATAACTCTCGGAGCCCGTGGGGACAGTTATTATGAATATCTTCTTAAGGTAAACGTTGACACATGTCTAAAAATTTCATTCTCAGTTATTTCGTCTGTAATCGGAATGTGCAATGTGTGGCTTTTTGGGGCTCGCGACAGCGTTTGCCTTCCATACGAGTAGATTTTTCCCGACCTTTGAATGCGTCTCAGAAGGCAGATATGGTACCTTGCACCCTTCACTAATGCCGTTTTCTCACGGAATCTGCATTTTCAGTTGAGACGTCAGGTTGCTATCTAAGTACTTAAACTACCAACATAATCCTGGATTATACGCAACATCGGCAGCTGTTCACTCAACTGTCTGCCTGTCTGCTAACGTCGGATTAATTAGTCCAATTTAGGCCACTCAAGCTGCACTTGGACTATTTCACTTACGCCGGACACCACACTGGCAGCGAGCGGGTTGGGAAGCACCGATAATAACTGTAAGTGATTGCGTCTGCGCAGGAATGGGTGAAGGCGATTGCCATCAGTTGTTCCGTCCCATCAGTGGGTTGCTGTCTAGCTATACAGGCGCACCAAATAGTACTCCATATATCGGCACCCGGAAGACAGTCCTTCCCGACAAATGTCGTCTGTGTGGACCTTGTGTGCATCAACCCGCCTTAAATCTTTTCATTTCGGAAAAACAAGTTTTGAAAGCTCTCAATACCTTGCTCCTTTTGACTGCAGCCTGTAAAACGCATTTCTGTTATTCCTAAACTCTTATTTGTCTCGTGACTCACGGATAACTGAAATAAGGCTGTCAGCACTTACAAGCATGTGAAGAGGCGCAGGTTGGCGGCGCGGCCGACCCCTCACCTTGGCGCTCCACTCCACACCCCCGGTCCACACAACAATTAACCAGGATTTTAACCAATGACAACAACACCACGACTGGTAAGAAGGAGGATGAAGAGGACTGGGCAGCCATGCTTCTGCTCTGTAGACCCTGCGGGATCGTAAGCGCATCTACCGGCAGGGAATCAGGTGTCAGAACTGCCAGCGCATAGGAGGCTGCAAGGGCCATGGCATAGCAGAAGAAGAAGAAGACGGAGACGGGGGAGGGCGCATGCGGATGGCGCAGCCGGATACGCTACCTGGCGCTCCATCCCACACACCTGGTCCACACAACATTTGAGCAGGATTCGAACTAACAATAAAAAGAATTGCCCAGAAAGAGGAGGATGACTAGGCAACCATGCACACGACTTGCATACCCATCAGGAGCGCAATTGCATCTACCAGCAGGGGAACCAGGTGCCAGAGAACTGCCAGCGCACACTAGGCTACGAGGCCATGGTTTGCTGACCCTGGCATAGCAGATGCTTACATACCTTTAGGCTTAGAAGGGTGACACATGGCCCAACATTTGCCAGGTCCGTCACCCTTCAAGACTGAGTAACCAAGCAGTCGTCTACTTAGAAGCACTACCCTCACATACGTGAGTGTCACAGACCATTTAAAAGGGAGCCCTAACAGCCCGGCTCTCAGCCCACCGGTCTGCCGTGAACTGAGTTAGGGCGTCGGTCGGCAGTCTTCCATGCCATGGCGCTTGGACTACCGTGATAGCCTCAGACTCGGACCACACATGCAGCCTTATGGAGAAGGAGCTGAGAAACACACTTCCCATTGACGTGGGAGGTGGCCATTGGGTGCTTGTGATGGGTGATGGTGTTGGGAGGTGCGGGTGCCTGTGGGGGAAGGTATGATGGTGTGGTGTAGCCGGCGGTTGTCTGCCGCAGATTTTTGTGAATGTGCATGTGTTCTAATAGGTGCATGCGGTGTGTGGATGTGCGAATGCATCGAGGGCAGTTGAGGCGGATGCGGCGAGTGTAGGTTGGTGCTCCACGCACTGGTTTGCCAGTCTCTGTGGGATGGATTCGCAAGTGACCGACCAGGCCGATGTGTGTGGTGAATGTACGATCGCAATGAGGACAGGCATGAATCGAGTCCACATCGCTAAAGGTGACGACTTTGGTGATGCTTGAAGTTGCTTAGAGGTCGGACGACGTCCCATCGGTGGGTGGAGGGCGTGAAGACGTGGTGGTGGTGATGCTAGTCGCTGCGGTCGATGCAGGGCTTGGGGCAGGACGGATGGCGTCCGCGGATGGCGGTGACGGGGCAGGGACAGTGTGGTCGGTGGTGACGAGGGTGGCGGTCGGTGCGGAGTTGGCGAGAGTGGGCGAAGAGGCAAACTTTGTCGGGTTGCTGCGCATTGAGTCCGATGGTGTCCAACGAGACCGTTTCGTGCGCGAAATGTGTGTTGGCAGCGCGGACATGTTGGAAGCGGTGGATGGTTGGCAATGAGCAGGCGAGACACTTGTGATTTGCGAGTCTCTCTTTCAGCTTTGTCGGTGGCGATCCGATTTGCCTCGTGGATGGCCGCGCCGGTCTTCATTTCTCTTCTGATGGCCGGTCTGTTCTGAGCGAGGTCCTCCCAGGTCTCTAGATGGATCTACAATCGCTTAAAAGGATTCTTCAGTGTATCCTTGTGGCGTTTTTTGATCAGCCCGGTCGGCGTGCAGCGATTTGTTTCGGTAGTCCTGTGTTTTTCATCCTCCCGTGATGGCCGCTCCAACGTAGCTGCAGTTGCCTCAACATGGCGTGAATGCTAAGGATGTCTGTCCGTTCTAGGCCTTCGATGTTGGACATCCTGTCTTGTCATCTCAGCTTTAGTATTCTGCGAAGGCAGCTGAGGTGGTATTGGCTGAGTTTTTTGGCATGGTTGGGGTAGGCGGTCCAAGTCTCCGTTCCGTAAAGAAATGTCGTCAGGACGACGGCCTTGTACATCTTCTGTCTGGTATTTATTTGGAGGCCATGACGATTCCACAGGGAGTTCTGCAACCGGCCGAATGCTTAGCCGGCTTTAGAGATCCAGTGAGCTGTCTCATCATCGATCCTGGTGCTGTTGGAAAGTGTGCTCCTGAAGCAAGCAGAATTGTCCAAGGCTTTGAGTTGGTGGCCGTGGACAGTGAGTCGATGAGGAGTAGTGTTGCGTGTTGGGTGACGGTTGACGTATGATTCCGTCTTGTCTATGTTGATAGTTAGGCCGAAGTTGGCGGGTCCGGCGGCCAGGAGGTCCATGTTCCGTTGCAAGTCGACTTCGGTCGTGGTGTTGAGCACACAGTCGTCGGCGAAGTGCTGATCGTGAACCGTGGTCGTAGATAGCCGCGTTGGGTCCTGCATGCGCCTGCTGTTGAGAAGATGCCCGTCAGTTCTGTGGGTGATGCGTAGCCCTGGACGTGGATCACGGTAGGCGTCCATCAGTGTGGCAGAAAACGTGAGACTGAAGAAGGTAGACGCGAGTACGCAGTCCTGCTTCACTCCCCTGGTCACTGCAAATGCCTCGAAGACTGCGCTGTTGTTCGTGACGCGCGCTACCATCCCGACGTGGAGCTGACCTACTATGTGTGTGAATCGTCCAGGACAGGCGAGTTTGTGGAGGATTTTTCACAGTCCCTCGCGATTTACTGTATCAAAGTCCTTCGTCAGATCCACGAAGTTGGTGTAAGGTGGGTTCCCATCTCCTGGTACTTTTCTTGTAGCTGACGATCGGCAAACACCCGGTCAGTGGTGCCCCGGTGTTGTCGGAAACCACATTGGCTTTTCGGCAGGAGTCCTTGCCCGAGGTGTTCGTTGAGGCGATTGAAGGGGATGCGGATGAAGATCATCCCGGCGGTTTTGAGTAGTGAGATGCCTCTGTGAATGTCGCAGGCTTGTCGGTTGCCCTTGTTCTTGTAGAGTTGAAGAATGGTTGCTTCCTTGAAGTCCTAAAAAACTTGTCCGCAATGCCACATCTCCAGAAATAGGGTTGTGATTTGGTCTATCAGGCGGTGGTCGCTGTGTTTGTAGATTTCGGCTGGGATTGCATCGGAATCTGGTGCTTTTGCACTGGAGAGTTTTTGCACGAACCAAATGGTTTCTGGAAGGGAGGGTGGGAGGTCCAGGTCGACGTTGATTTCCACTTGGGAGAGCGGGTCGATGGTGGCGTCGGAGATTGTAGAGGAGAGGGGGAGGGAGTTGAGGACATTGCTGAAGTGCTCGGCCCAGCGCTTCAGGATCTGCGACCAATCCGTCAAAAGCGTTGATCCATCGGAGCTGAGAATCAGTGCAGTCCCTTGGGTCGCGGGCCGTAGATCGCCTTGATTGCAGCGGATAAATCCTTTGAGTCGTGGCGGTCGGCGTATGCTGGTATCTCCTCGGCCTAGCGAGCCATCTAAGAGTCCTGCATTTCTCGCAACCGTTGCTGCGCTAGGCGGCGACATTGGTAGAAGGCCGCTTTGTTGGTATCGGCTGGGCGGTCGAGGTACTTTACGTGCACCTTGTCCTTCTAGTACAGCTTGTTACTGGTGACTGTGTTATTTCCAACATACTAGTCCTGGTGCTGGTGGCGTGCGCGACCGTGGGCAGCCAGGACGGTCGAGTGAACGGCGTCCCGTAGTCGGCACCATCGAATCTACGAAGAGGCGCAGTAATCTGCTGCTGGCAGGTCTTTTAGCCGCTGGGTTATTTGATTGCTGAAATGTAAACGGTGAGGAGGCAAAAACAACAAAGCAGCATCCAACTTACCTGAGAGTCGCTTACCTTATGGCCTCCTGCGGGCTTGCACACGGAGCTTCATCTTGGAGATGACGAGGCGGTGGTCCGTTCAGCCATCGTTGTCGCAGATCACCTTGGTCACCATCAAGTCCTGCCGATCACGCCGCCGAACGAGAACATAGTTCATCAGCCGCTAGTACCACGATGGGGGTGCATCTAGGTTGGTTGTCCTGCCTGCCGCAGAGCAGTCGTCCCACGATGTTGTTCCGGATGGCAAAGGCGACGTCCGCGTCACGTCGCTCTGCCTTGTGGCAACCGCTCAAGAGTAAGGTGTAGCCGACTCCTGCCCCCTGCAGTTGGCGTTTTTCGGAGAACGGGGTCTCGCTGAGTGCAACAATGTCCACCTTGTAGCGTGCCAGTTTTCGAGCTATTAGCGTCACCCTTCATTCCGGCTGGTTGCTCCTGGCATTATTTAAAAAGGAACAGGCATTACAGACCGCTAGATTGGGCGGACTCACCCGATCTGTCTGTCGTCTATGGTGGCGAGGAGGAGGAGGGGAAGGAATAGTGAGTATTTTGTCTTGTGTTGTGGTGTCGACCGCATGTTAAGCAGTCTGCGAGCCACGGTCTGCATGCAGATGCCCTGAACCCAGGTTTGGTTAAGGCATCTTTTATAGCCCCCTTGTCCTTGGGGGGAAAGCTGTGCTCTGCCCAACTAGGGATGTTTTTTCACACCAGACGGATACCGCTCCCCACACTGGGTCACGGGCTTTGACCTGGGTTGCCTACGGGTTGCTGTTGCTCCCACTGTAGGACTTCCGACCATGGTGCGAGGCGATAGAGTAGAATATAAAGAACGAAGGGCGGAGGAGGAATGCGGAGAGAGGGTACGAAGGGGCAGAATTACCGTGTGTGGCGATGCACACACAGATACCCTCGCCTGGTTTAGCCGGCCTGTCGAGGCGGTCACCGAGGTGTGGCCTCCCTACAGAGCCTAGCTTTGGGAAGCCAAAAGTGAGAGTTGGGTTCCAGTTAATGGACGCTAGACGTAGTCAGCACCTCCAAGCAAGTGAGCGACCTATCACGACCTTCATGTGGACCCACAACTGCACACCCCTACACCCCGGTAAAATACCTAATCCTTGCAAGTTAGACCGCATATCTCCCTAGTGCAGTTAAATATGAAGTTCCGTTCATTTGGGTAGATGCTCCAACACGCGTGTAGCAGACGGAGACCGAGGCAAGATGCGTAGTCAGTCAACGCTTTTTAGCTCATTTTCAGTAATATCGGATTCTTTTTGTGATTTGACTACCGTTGTAATGATAAAAGTGAGTACTGAGGACGCCAAGCCAGCTTTTCTCACTGATAAGATGCCATTTCACAGGGAGAGGAGGGAAAATTGTTGTTCAGATGGTTGACGAGCTGTTGTGAGGGTCATAAATTCCTTTTTGTCCTATTGCTTTTTACGTATGGAGTTAAGCTTTCCGTTAAAACACACCTTATTGCCACCCTGGTACTCATGATATATTACGCGTACGACACGTACTATCAACTTGAAATTGGGGTGATGACAGTTTGACGGTCGTTGTCGAAGATATCTACCGTGTGCTGCACAGCAGGAACAGTGAGTTGTGCGTGAATTGGTTTATACTGACTGTAGACTTGCGTAGCACCTATCGCACTCCCTTTTCCATATGGAGTCGGTTTTAAGATAAAGTAAAGAAGACCGAAGGTTGTAGAGGGCGCAGGTGATTGGTACGACGAAAATCCACACCTCGAAAATGTCAGGTATTACTCTCCACGCCTGGCTGTGTGCGGCAGAAGGCCCGGACATCTCTACCCATTCTCTTCTCCAGCCATGGTGACCGAATGCCGAAAGTTCAAGAACCACTTCTATGTCTTGACAAGCCATATCGTGGCCGACCATGGATTGATCTTCAATTGGACGCCTTAAGATGGGCAACGGCGCCGGATCGAGGAAACTAACACTGGGTTCGTGAAATGAATGACGAAAAACTTGCCTAAGTTATCTCAGTCGTCTTTCATGGATGCTCTGAGATATCCTCGCGATACTGTCGCAACAAGTGCAGACGGCCTCCATTAGGTCAAAGTCGGTGCACTTTACTCGAAGAATAGTCAGTAACCGCCAGTGGTCTGAATCTCTACTTTTTGCTCATCCACGCACACAGTCTAGTATTTGCAACCGTACAGTAGTAGAGTCCATAAACACTTTCTGAGGATTCGGAAAACCCTCTGAGCAGCATTGATTTGAGAGACAGTGTCGTCCTGGCTCAGTCCTTTAGACAGCAGCCTCGCCCTGAGGCATTTGAACCTGTCTACTTCGGTAGAGAGGCGCTTATCGATCCTGTTACGGAACTCACTCATCCCGTTGTGCCTTGGGGGTATCCCTCGAGCCCCGCCAGCAGCCGCAAAGCGTTGCTTTATATAGGCAGAACAACATTACCAGAAAAAGACAAGGGAGGCTGGAATGGTCATTTAGGCCCGTGGTTCAGTGGGTTCAGCACGTAGCGGGATCGAACCCCAGGTGTTGCACACGTCGAGGTTGGGTATGGCTGACTGACGACAGCCAACAAGCCAGGAATGACCATCCCTGTCTCCCCTGTCTTTACCCTTAATGAAATACTGTCTACTTCTTCAAGTTGGCAGCCAATTATCCTGGAATCTTTATTTTTTTCGAGGCTAAACCGGGGATTCGGACTTCATACAGGCAGCCAACATCCACCTTGTACAGGTAAAGACTGCGCGCCGTCAGACTCATTTCAAGAGTCCGTTCTCTATTAAGCATTCCAGCTCGCATATTATTCGACCGCACTACTGAATCAGGTTTGCGGAGCGCGTCGGATTCCTTGGACGTCGTAGCATGGATCGTAATACTGCAATCGAAGCTTTTCCTCACGTTTATTGGGAATTTGGAATGCAGGCGGGTTCCCAACAGACGCTCTGATTATTCTAGGTTGTCTCCTCCGACGCTTAGGTACAAGAACCTAAACAGAAGACAGCGGTGGCTATGAAACTTAGCCAGTGGCGGTTCATGGTTGACATGTCGCAGTGCCGTCATCGGGCTTTGTGGTACTTTATGAGGCAGTCGGCCTGCCAGTCCTCTGCCCTCCGTGTCGCTTCTGAGCATGGATTGCAAAACGCCATACTGCTTCTGACTCTGGAGTCGTCACCGGTATTTACGGCATTTTATAAGGCTGGTGGCGTGCTAAATCTTAGCCTTTCTGGCACTAAGAAGGTCTACAAAAACCTTATCGTCTTTTTAGGATACCATATTAGCCGCACAGGTACTAGTTAAAAGCCCATACACGCCTGCTTCGCCGATATTCCGCTGCTGCATGGCACGGCTGCGATGGTTTCGGCTCATTAGTGGGTCCCGCAGCATTATCCGTCTGCTTTCTGGTAGATACTCCAATTTAGAAATTGTTACCTTTTAATTTCCTCAGAAATTAACTGCGAACTTAGAATAGATGAGTATTTTCTAGGTCTGTAGACCCAGACCGAAATTTTTATGTATGCATATTTGGGCAAACTCCATTAGCCACGGCGTGTAACCGTGTGATATTAATTAACTGAATACTGACCTACTCCAAGTTCGCAGTTAATTTCTAAGGAAATTAAAAAGCAACAATTTGAAAGTTATTTTCTGCTAGCAAAACATTTAAACGCGCCCTTTCGAATATTCACTGACAGCCTGGCTTATTTTGCTTCTTCTAAAGCAATGATGTGCTTAGAACACGACCAGTTACCCTCCTCGCTAACATTCAATTGGAAAGGAAGTTAATAAAATGTATGCATCGAAGGGTGGCTATTTTCAACTTTTGTTTTGACGATGGAGTTTTTTTTCGGGTATTGTAAACCTTTGTCACTTCGCCCTTTGGTTTCGAAGGGGAAAAGCCTATTTGTTTCTCGGGAGTTTCATTGCTCGGCCTTAGTCAAATGCTACCTCTCCTTTTCTTTCCAGGCTGTCGAATTATCCTGGATTTTGTCGTCTGAAAGTTAATAGTGACCAAGCTAAAGAAGCCTGGAAATTTTGTTTGTTTGTTGCCGTCGACTCCAGCCCCAGAAGATCCAAAGTATGAGCCCGACCATTTGGTCAATAGCCGGACACGAGCCATGTCTTCCTGGCCACGGCTGACCATACGCACTCGTGACGGTCAGCTTCACTAGACTACTCTTACATCAAGAAAGAAAACTCAAACTGAGGAAAATTAATTGCTGAGCGGATCTGGGGACTTTTCTGGCTGACGTTTCGTGGAGCTGGGGCTGCTCTCCATTGTCAAAGCGTCAAGTGAAAAAATCGATCAGAATTTTTGAATAAGCTGCCGGATTAGTTGGCTTTGGGCTGATCGATTTTTTTCTTCCTTTGCTGCCTTGGCCTACTGGCCGTCGCCTGTGAGTGTTGGTGGCCTCCTGTATTACGTGTCGTCACCTCAATTGGGGTTAGTTGCGTTTCCGTTCCCCTTTTGGGTGAAGTGTTTGCTCGGTATCCTTAAGCTCCGTATGATTGTCTTGTCTTCGGCACTGTGTATGTAGTGACGTAGGACTTTATAGGCCGAAGAAAGGTCTATATGCCCGTTGATGGAGTTGGCGTCTGAGTACCAAGCCTCAAGTGTGATACGCTCAGTCCTTGAGGTGCCCCTGCCTAAGACGGCTACTCCTTGAAAATCAAAACTGTGACCAGTTTCCCCCGATGTGAGCCGCAAGCTGTGAGTTTGGGTCTAGTCTCTGAGTTGCCAATTTGTGCTCATGTAGGCGGGTCTGCAGTTTCCGTTCGGTTTCCCCAACGTAGTTGCAGTCTCCATCCTTACAACGTATTTGATAGACAACTGCTGAGGTTTCAGTGGGTGGCAGTATGTCTTTGGGTTGCATCAAACGGCGACGAATTGTTGCCTGGGGTCGATGGGCAATGCCTACCCTGCCCAGGCAACAATTCGTCGTTGTTTGTAAAATTGGAATGCGTTTGGATTTTCACTTGACAGTAATCCCGAGATCATTGCAACACCTTTGTTGGTGTGCAAAACTAGCTCATTCAATGTTTCAACTTGCGTTTCCCCGTAGCCCGGTCTTTTGCTTTCGGTCTATCCAATCTCATGATTTTCCGCCCGCGATAGTCTGAGAGAATGAAGGCAATGCTTGCATTGTATTTTCTTTTAATTTGCCCCTGTCGATTTTGATATTACCAATTAGCGATTTGCTTGCCCTTATTATCCCGTCACCTCTGAGTACGAAACTGTTACGTGCCTTTAGACTTGGGTTCAGACTGGGAAGCGGGTAAAATGGTTGGAGGACGACTATCGGCAAGCCATTGACGGTGTCCAGGAAAAACTAGTTCGCCGCTCCTCACCAAACAACCTGACCTTCGTTGGCGAACTGCGTTCCGGCCGTTTTTCTCCGAAGATGGTACGTCTTCACATCTTCACGTTTTAACCACTACAGTTTCGGTATTAGGGCGAGGTTTGGAGTGCTTTATTTTTGTCTCGTTTATCTTAACATGATTTGCGACGTTATGGAAGTGTTTGGCCGATCTGCAACTGTAATGGACCTGGCTCGCGTCTTCCGGCCGATCGGAAGGATGCTTAACGCAAAGCCTGCATGTTATTGTGTTTAGGTAGAACGGTAGTTATGTACCATGCTAATCAGTATTTCAATGCCATTTGTGTAATAATCTCTGTCTAGAGCACATTCGAAGGTCCCAGCCAGTTTTTGGTTAGTCTCCGAGCTTGCCGTACCTTATTTTGCAAAACAACAGGAAGCTCATGCAGATAACCAGCGTTCTTGCGGTCTTAGCCGCGCGGTGGAATTTATGGCGAACAGCTGACAGAAAACCGTATGGTCATGAGTAATTTCGAAGTTCCCGATGCTAAATTAATAGGGTGTCCTCTGGCATTGCTTTGGGGTTACGGGAGCTGAGTGCACACTCAAATCTTTGCGCCGCAGCGTGTATCTGCAAGCTTTCTCTTACATTCAAGAAGGGTCTATTGTCAATTAACAAGTTTTGAATTTTTGTTCACTGTAATCCTGCAGCTTTCTTTTAAGCTAAATTACCGTTTTGAGTTTTTTTTTGCTCATCGATTGCGGAGTCTTGCCTTCGTTTGTGACTTTGCGAATTCCCGTCACACCGCAAGCCTCATGTCAACAATCATTTTGCCCGCAGGACCACCTAGTCTGCTTCCTGCCCGGCACTCTGGCTTACGGTTACTTACATGGAATGCCGGAAAGTCATTTGGAACTGGCAAAACAACTGCTTCGGACCTGTGTGGCAACTTACAACCAAAGCGCAACCGGCCTCAGTCCAGAAATAACCCACTTTAACTTCGCCGAGGACAGCCCAAAGGACTTTTACGTTAAGGTATAATCTTTCTCTAACCTTTGCCGGCCATCCGATCACCTGGTTTTCGGTCATAGTCGGTCTTTCTTGTTTTCTAGAAGGGAGACGCGCACTGTATTTTACGTCCCGAAACTGTGGAATCTCTCTTCTACCTCTATCGTATAACAAAGGACCCACTTTACAGGACTTGGGGCAGGCAGATATTTGAAGCTTTCCAGAAGCACACCCGATTACCCCATGCTGGCTATGCTCCAATAGAGGATGTCAATGTGCTGCCCGTGTCGCACAAGGGAAAGATGGAGTCCTTCTGGATGGCTGAGACACTTAAATACTTCTACCTCCTTTTCAGCGACGAGGCTGCCGCTAAGTTTGATCTTAAAAACTGGGTCTTTAATTCAGAGGCCCATCCGTTTCCCATTCCATCCAATGAGACTGATATTAGCCTTCTGAACCAGGTTTACACTCTGACCTCGTTAAGTTAGACTGTTAAGCGCTCTGGTGTCTTGCTAAAGACATGTAGGAACTTGTTTTGGTGGACGATATGATTTTTCATTACCTCCAACAGTGAACGCTTTTTAGGTCCCAGTCCTCCACTATCTTGCCTTCTTTGCCGTTGGTTTTTTTATATTTTGGCGTATTTTGGTCTTGTGAGTTGTTTTGTTTGAGTTCTTGCCTGACCCAACTTCATTGGCTCGGCTCCTTGTGCAACTTTAGTATTTTTCTAACCCATTGCGCCAAGCCTTTTTCCCATTTACATGGTTTACGAATACCTTCTGTATAGCCTTCTTCAGGTCATGACATACCGTTGACTCAGTTATTCTCTATGTTTTATGTGCTCCTGCCTCTTCTGAGCGCGACTTATTCGTACCAAGGAGTCCGTAATACAAGTTGCCCATTTGGGGCTGCCTTCGTAGCTGTCTCTTACCGTCCTTGATACCACCCAGGTGCAGGAAGTAAACCCCTTATTGCACACTGTTTGTACCCCTTAATAAATTACGGAGGGATTAATTAGGTAGGAAGTAGGTGAGTGGCAAAGGCTCCGCCAGACTTTTTTCGAAGCTGTCTATTGGCCTCGTGTTGGATTTCGCACAACAACCCGCGCTCTTCCCCTCACAAAAGAGCTGCCTGGACACTGTTCGACAGAAAATAAAATTAGTTTAATTAGAAGTTATCTAGCCTATACCCTGGCCACCATCCGACTTTCCAGCCCAATGCGATGCTCGCACCCTCATTTGCATAAACGAATTGTCAATGGTCTTCTCGAGTAATTTTCTCCTATTTGTCAGTGACCTTAACACCTTATGCTGGAGACGCCCAAGAAGAAATAGTTCGAGTTAGCACACACATAATCCAACGTGGCTGCGTTTCGTGTGCAGAGATCTTAATACTCCTAAGTAAGCTGTCAGGATCCGTGTGCTTTACATGCCAGTGTGCGCGATTTTCCAGTTTGCCAGCGGGGTTGAGGATTTAGCAGTTACGAATTCCGCCAGTCTGGAATTGTCAAGAAACATTTACCGTTTATGAAAGTAAGGAAATCTCTCCGGCACCTCGTGGCGCATGATATAAACACTTGCTTGGTGTCAACTCAACAAATTACCTGCTTAGTCCTCATTCTTCATCTGTGCCATTAATATTTGGGATAAACTACGCTTCAGCAATGGAAAATATGCAGAATGGTATTACCGACAAAGACAAGGGAGACTGGAATGGCCATTTCTGACTTATTAGCCGTCGTCAGCCAGTCATACCCAACCCCGAAGTGGACTTCTAACAGACAGGTCGCGAATTGGAGCCTCGGGTGTGCCACACTTCGGGGTTGGGTATGACTGGCTGACGACGGCTAATGAGCCAGAAATGGCCATTCCAGTCTCCCTTGTCTTCGTCGGTTATATCATCCTGCCTATATCACGCGCCGCTGTGCGGCTGCTGGTTGGGCTCGAGAGAGAGTCCATAAGGCACAACGGAACGAGTGAGTTCCGTAAGAACGATCGGTGAGCGCCCCCTACCAATGCAAAATATGCTCACTCGCAATTTGCCGGCCAGGACACTATACTAGGGGCTCAACCATCCCGTCCTTGAGTAGAAGCGATTGTATGCGGAACTTTTCGGTCAATAAATTCCCATTAGATCAATTTGGTTCGAACGGCTTGAGCGGTCGACCAGATTACTTCGAGTTGCAGTGAAGAAGCATAGGCCCAATATGTGCATTAGTGTTGGCGTTGACTCCTTTCCGCAGATAGTACATGAGCCAGCCTATCAGTCATTCCATTTAATGCCCTATGAGTCAATTCCCCAGTTTCCTCATTTGTCTTTTTACTCGATCATCTGGAAACGGTCGTACCGATGTACGTTCAAGCATCTAAGTCCACTATTTGCGGCTTCTTGTCGTCGCAGGCAACAGCGTGTAGATTTTGAATCTCTGAGAACAACCGTCCCTTTGCTACGCCGATATTCCTCAAACCTTGAATACCGCACGAGCGTATAAGCTCTTACATCTTTGATTAAGAGCATTCGAATCATAGTCAGCTAGTAATACCAACCAACAATATGGCTGTCTAACACTCACTAGTCATACTTAGTGTCACTGGAAACAGACTGGAATTCCTACTGTAAATACTAGGCGCCTGCTGGGTGCCTAGATGAGGAACAGGGCATATTGTATAGCGGCAGAACCCGTTATGTAAATTAAGTCGTTGATGGTTCCCGGGTAGACCACGAAAATATTTACACAAGTGGGCTCCGGAGGCTCATTAGCGTTCTATATAGATGTGGCGACACAAACATAGGTTATGCGGAGACTGCCAATGCGCTTAAACGCGGACATCGAGCATGCTTCGAATTGCCAATAGAAGCGAAGAGCCGAGTCCCAGGAAGTAGTCTTGAAGAAGGAGACACGATCGCCGGGACAAGAGCTTTATTAGCCTGACGTTTCGGATTCCTACTCGAATCCATCATCAGAGACAAAAGAGCAGAAACGGGTGGTTGTTGCACAAGGGGCTGCGGTATTTATAAGATGCAGCAGCCATGCTACCGCATGCTGGTAGCTTCGAAACCACGGACGTAAGCACGACCACTCAAAATGAAAATTATTTAAAGATTGAAATGTTTTTAAAACTGGAGGATATCTTTTCCTCGAGTACAACATTTAAAGACAAAATCTACTACAAAATGAGCAAGAGGATGATTTCGTGCATGTTCTTGCACGCGGTAGCATGGCTGCTGCATCTTATAAATACCGCAGCCCCTTGTGCAACAACCACCCGTTTCTGCTCTTTTGTCTCTGATGATGGATTCCAGTAGGAATCCGAAACGTCAGGCTAATAAAGCTCTTGTCCCGGCGATCGTGTCTCCTTCTTCAAAATGCTTCGAATTGTTTACAAAATGGGTAATCACATTATTGCGTTATCAGAGATGCTACGCAACTTATTACTACTACTACTACTACAGTGGGTGACATATTTCATGAAATCTGCACTGAAATATTATTTCCATTGGAATGGAAATCCGTAGGTGGTGTTGTGATATCGGTTATCGTGTAGCACGCTTTGAAGAAATTTCAGTCGCGTTATTGTGTCAGCTTTCGACTGCGCGTGTTCGAAAATTACACTCGACACAAAACGAGGGCTTAGGCAGTGTGCTTTTTTCCGCCGGTTTTCGATTTCCTCGTAAAGCCAAATATTTTTGCAAGAACAGGCACGAAATCATCCTCTTGCTCATTTTGTAGTAGATTTTGTCTTTAAATGTTGTACTCGAGGAAAAGATATCTTCCAGTTTTAAAAACATTTCAATCTTTAAATAATTTTCATTTTGAGTGGTCGTGCTTACGTCCGTGGTTTCGAAGCTACCAGCACCATACTTTCCGTTTAAGGGAAGTCATACACTTCCACGCTGCTGAGGCGGTACAGGGCCCGTAATATTCTGCAACTCATGGGCCACATGCTATACTTTATAAGTAAAATTAATAAATCAGCAGATATGATTATACTCGAACGTAACTCCCACGGTCTTCAAAGCTTCATAATTACGCCTCTTTTAAACCAGAGGAGCTGTTTTTCGGGCAGAAAATTTGAAAGGGTAATTTACCACAAAATGTGTTCAAGGATACCTTTCTGCATCTTTTCTCTGAAAAATGCTCTTGTTTATTCTAACACCGAAAATTAATAAAGAAATGGGTGCTGTTTAAGTACTTAGCGATAACCTCTATTACATCCTATTTAATTAGTCCTTTTGAACCTAAATCACATTTCTGTATTCCGAATAAATTCCCTTACGATACATCAACTGGTGTACACATGCGAAACCTAGTCTTCTTCAGCTCTTTACTCCTGACAGGTAATGCGTCGTGAATCCGACTCAACGTAATCTAGGGATCCGCCTATGGTCTTAACTACCACCCCAGTCTATTGTTAGCCCCTTTACAAAGTAGGTTTCTGAACTGCCACGGACACCACAAACGTCTTTGCTTTATAATATATGTTTCCTTGTACTGGTGAAATCTCTTGGCCCAGGGTTCGCTCTAAATTTTTAGACGAGGGTGATATATAAACTATTCCGTCTGCGTTGCACCTTTTAAGGGCCTTCTGTAGTGAGGTCGTGAGTTTGTCCTGGGCACTGCCTCGGAACATTAGCGGCTGCTGATGAATATAGTCCACAGGAAATGTCGTGGAAATTTTCTTAAGGACTACCACCAGCCTAATCTATCCGAGTTTGCTATAAATAACTACCCTTAATGTGCAAACGCCGAACTTCAACGCAAATGGACTCATTTTAAATAAGTGGAGGACTAAATCCGTGGAATCGAAGCATTCGAAAATTCCAAGTCCTTACTGGGAATCCCAATTCAAACGCTGAGCATCTTTTGGGCATGATGGAGGACGATAGAATCTCCAAGGGGACATTAATACGATTGTCAGAGTTATAACTCCCGTTAGCTGGGCATCGGCCAATACATAAAAACGAAGTTGGGTTGGTCGAGCTATTATTATTATTATTATCGTTACTATTCGTGTTTCCTGGTGCCACTTCAGTACTGTTCACCGGCATGGCCTCCGTACCCTAAAACTACTTTCATCGGAGGCCTAGAAATGTTTACAGTTTAGGGGAAAGACGCTCCAGATCTCAACTTGTCGTATGTCCGCCAGGACATCCTTCAAGTCTTTGTCAGTTAGCACTGCCTACGCAGGATGCTGAATTAATGCCCTCCCCCCCCCCTCCTACAAAATCTATTGCGTTATACATTTATTATGTAAGTATTACGTGTACAATAATATCTGTTCACACATTTCTTGACATTAGGCTTTTAACCACTCAATCGTTGTGCATGCTGTATTTCGTGTGAAAATTTATCGGTTATTTGCTAGGTATAGTCTTACTTCGTCTATAAACCAGCTTAGACTGCTCTGCATACCCTCACCAGTTAGGGCGCTAGTCGACGATATGTTCCAGGGCCTGTCTTGTACATTTTCCAAGCCCAGTGCGTTTG